GGATTCTCCATCCCTGGTTCTTAAGCAGGGAGACTGGAATGTGCCTCAGTGGCCATGTGGCTGGGAACCACGGCGGGGTTGGATCAAGGGTTGGACTGGATGATCTCAGAGGTCCCTTCCAACCCAGATGACTCTGTGAGTCTCTGATTCTCTGGCTGTGTGGTTTCTCAGCCCTGTTTTTGCCTGCAGCCCCCCTCCCTGACCGAGAGGAAGCCCAGCAGGTCTGGCTCTGTGGTGCTGCCCTACATCATGTCCTCCACCCTCAGGAGGCTCTCAGTCACTTCTGTGGCCTCCTCCGTGGTCTCCACCTCCTCCACCTCCTCTGACAGCACCTCCTCCAGGCCAGGCTCGGATGGGTCAGTACCAGCCTTTCCCCCTGATTTACAGCACTGCAAAAATGCCTTTGCAAGGATTTTAGTTACTCTTAAAATCAATGTTTATTCCCTAGTAACGCACATTGAAAAATTGTAATATTGCTCCGTTTTATAGGCAGGGAGTTTGGGGCACAAATAGGGATGATAATTCTGGGAATTGAACCCACAGCTGCTGTCCAAATTATTTGCCTGGCCCTGAAGAGGGATGGGGTGTATTTCAGACACACACATTGTCTCTGCTTCCTGGGAAAACAGGAGGTGTAAGGCACTGCAGGGTGGTTTATTTTGGTGTGGTCAGCAAAGAGTTGAATAAGTCACATAGGACGTGTTTCCACCCTGTTTGCAGCTGCATCCATGGAATTGGAGCTGCCACACATGGAAACATTCCCTGGTTTTACTTCTCTGTACATTTAATTTACAGCTGTGATAAGCAGAAGGGTTTAGGGGACTTGCTGAAGGGCAATGCAGGGCTCAGCATAAAATGAAGGTCTGGCTCCCTCTGCAAGCAGATCAGAGTTTACAGTCATTATTACACATTACATAATGTGATTTTACAGATCTCATTAGACCTAAGACATAATACTCAGAATTTCTGGGGTAACCCAGCACGAATCTCGCTGAAAAATCACGTTCATCATTCAGTTTTTCCCAATAACCTCATGCAAACTAAGAGATGGCAGCTCTTTAACCACCAGCCCTTGAAAGGTCTGATGGACTCGTGTTTTTTCCCTCTTTTGGGCCACAGATCTATCCTGGAGCCTCTCTTGGAGAGGAGAATATCAACATCTTCCAGAGCTGAGGAGCCGCCCGGGAAGGATGATGGTGACAACAGGATCAGCAAACTCAAGAGGAAGGAGTGGAGCATTAGCAAGTCTCAGGTTATCGTGGAGAAGGAGCCAGAAGCAGAACTGACTTCCAAAATGGTAACCCAATAATGCTGACAGTGAGAACCCAATCCCCAGCAGGAGGGTTGGGAGCGTTCCCACTGCTGCTCCTTGGGAGCTGCATTAACCAGTGGGAGGGGTTGGAATTCCAAAAGCCTTGCTCATGTGCTTTTTTTCTGTGGAAAATCCGGTGTCACAGCTTTGGCTGGAGGGCCAAACTGGCAGCAGGAGGCTCTGATGCTTCCTGGAGGTGCTGAGTGCCCCACTCGTGGTCAGAGCAGGGGCCCTGTGATGCTCTCAGCGCCCTGCAGGGCTGCCCCTGTTTTTGTTGGAGCAATCCCTGCTGCCCCAGTGTCTCAAACCAAGACACCCAGGCAGGAATCCAGCTGCCAGGCCAGATGTTGAGCTGCTGTCACTGGTGAGGAGCAGCCTGATGGGCTGGGGGAGGGAAAAAGGATGGGCTGCTCGTTAAGTCGCCAGCTTGGGACTTGGAAAACCTGGTTCCAGCCTGTGCTTTGCTCCAGACCCTCCTGCACGGGGGCAGAGGGGTTATTCCTTCAGCAGATTATTTGCAGGAGAGGAATAGAAGGGAATCTATCCCCCCCCAGGAGGCTGTAATGAGGAATATCTTGGAGCTGTTGGGATTAGGGTTGGCAGTGGGATTCCCAGTGATCACTAATGCACAGGGATAAGTTTCAGCCCACAGGTAAAGCTGTAGAACCTTGGAATATTATCCTGATTGATGCAAAGGCTGTGCTGCACTGTCAGAGGATGAGAGAATTGGGCACCTGAGCATTTCAGCTCAGTGATACTAATCTGACTGAGCACAGGCTGTGTAAATAATGAGCAAACATGAATTCCTGTGTTTCCCTTTCTCTCTCGAGTGCCCAACGGAATCTGGCAGGAACAGGGCCTGCATTTTCAGGAATTCTCATCAAATCTGAGTGGTGCTGCCAGCACTTGGAGGCTGCAGGATGTTTATTAGAGGGGGAGCTGGGCTGGTGTCACTGGGTATTGACAGGCTTTCCAGGGCAGGAAAATTGGGAGTCGGGAATGTTGGTGGTTCAGGAGGCCTGGCCCCTCTGCCTCTGCTGCTGGATTAAATGGCTTTAACCCACAGGCACTGCTGGCAGCTGCTGGTCACTTTGTTGACTAAAACTAGAGGGAAAATATCTGGGATAAAGCCCATTTGTGTGGTTTGCTGGGGCAGTGGGGAATGTCTGTCCAAGGCTTTGCACTGCAGGGAGCTGAGAGATGCAAACACAGCACCCACCCTCCCTTCTCCCCAGCATCTCTGAGGGCAAATTCCAAGTGTTATCAGCTCCCTGAAGGGAATGAGCAGTCCAGGGTTACAGCCCTGCAAAGCTCAGAGAAAGCTGGTTTTATTGCTGCTCTAGTGCAGCCCAAGAATGGGACAGGCTGAATTTATGCAGCTCTTGGCTGAGCTGTGTGGGAGCTGGAAAGCCAGAGGGAAGCAAAGGCTTGCTGTGTGTGTCCAGCAGATTTGGGCTTTAAATGTTTTATATTCACCAGTGTGTGGTCTCCTCTGTGCTAAGAGAAATCCAACTGATGGAGAATTGAGCTCTGAAGAGCCCAGTGAGTTTAATTATCTGTTTAAGTGACAGCCTGCTCTGTAAAACAACAAACTGATATTTAAAAGGTCCCTGATATTCCTCAACTGGACTCTTGTGGCCTCGTGGTTGGAGTGAAGAGCACAGAGGACACACATGACACTGGAAGGAACTGAAACACCTCCCAAGTTCCAGATGCAAAGGATTTGCTCTGGAAAGCCTAAAATAGGCTTGTTTCACAGCCTCAAGGAGCTGGGTGACACCAGCAGCCCTGACCTGCACCCAGAATTTCAGTTTTTTTACTTCTTGGAAAGACTTCTCCCCCACTGCCCTGCCCAGTTTATTCACAGAACTGCAGCAGCTTTTCATCCTAACACCTTCCCATCTCAGTTAATCCTCTGAGGCCCCTCAAACCAGCCTGCTCTTACCTGGCTGACTTCTGAAGGGTTTTGTCTGCCTTTGTTCCAACCAGGGCACGGCAGGGAAAGCACAAAGGCCAAAGAGTCTCCAGCTGGGAGACAACAGACTGACTTTGCTTCAGGGCTCTTCGCTCCAGCAGTCGACTCGCAGCCCACCCCCCATCACCCCCAAAACCCCCAGGACCCAAAGTAAGTCCTGGAAATGAGTCTGTGTTTGCTGAGGTGACCACACTGGGCAGGGAGGGAAGGAGGGAGGGAGGGAAAGAGGAACTGCTCTGCATTAGAGCACAGAAGGTGACTCTGAGCTGATAATGGTCGTGGGCGTTTTTGTCAGCTCACAAAATTTGGCTGTGTTACCAAAGATCACCCTTGTCACTTAGAGATCACTGGTTAAAATTAGGATGCCAGAGGAATTCCAGACAACAGCTTTTACCTTTTTCAATTTGTTTCTTGATTTTTTTCTGTGTTGACTTGTACAAGAAAGATGGAGAGAGACATGGGACAGGGGATGGAGGGACAGGACAAGGGGGAACAACTTCAGACTGCCAGAGGGAAGGGTTAGATGGGATAATGGGAAGAAATCCTTCCCTGGGAGGGTGGGGAGGCCCTGGCACAGGTTTTCCAGAGAAGCTGTGGCTGCCCCATCCCTGGAAGTGCCCAAGGCCAGGTTGGAGCACCCTGGGCTAGTGGAAGGTGTCCCTGCTCATGGCAGGGGGTGGCACTGGATGGATTTTAAGGTCCCTTTCCACCCAAACCATTCCAGAATTCTATGACTTATGGAAGGTATATTAAACCTCAAGGTGAACATCACATGCAGTCAGTGTAGGTGATAAATCAAGGCAGGTCTAGAAGAGCATCTCCTGTGGATTCACAGGATGGAACCACAGCAATCCCACGTGGTTCTGATCAGCTGGATGCCTAAATATCCTGGGCAGGCCCTGAGGGCTTTGTTAATTAATGAACAAACTCCCATCACGTGGTAAAAAAGGTCTGGTAGAACTTGCTCTGCAGCTTGGAAAGTGAGCTGGTGAAGTTACACCCACAAGAGGTGGAATTTATCTTGAAGGTAATTAGCAAAATGAACAATTTGTGCGAAAGTCTCCAAAACATAAAGCATAGATCAAAATAGGACAATAATCTGGTCCTGAAAACGAAGGGGGAGAAAAATCCTGTTAATGCTGAAGCAACATTTAAATATGGCTCAAGGTAAAAATCCCTGTGCAGGGTCACCCCTGGCAGTCCATGGATGTTGCATTTCTCAGTCTGCTGCTCCTTTTTGAAAGGAACAGAAGGTTGGGTGTGGATGTAAATTCAGAATCCAGTGATGAACCAAACCAGCATAAAAGTGCTGTGAGGGGGTTTAAACCAAAAAAATACATATGAGGGGTGAGGAGGAGACAACCAGAAACACAAAATCAGGAATGCTCTGAAGAAAGATGTGTGAGAGGAATGAGAAACCTCCCTCTCCCACTTATCCAGGGGGTTTAGTTGCCCTTAGGAGCAAGACAGGATCTTTCTGAAGTTCAGGTCCTTATCTCCTCCATCGAGTGGAGTTAAAATCAAAGGGAGTTGTGGGGTTGGACAGGCAGATGTGCTAATGGCTGCAGGGCTCTGCTCCCTCAGGGCTCCCAGCAGCTCCCATCCATTTGGTGGAGAGAGAGAAAAACTCTTGGGGGCATTTGGAACTTGAGGGAGACACGACTGTGACTCCAACAAATCCAGTCAGGTTTAGCTGCTAAAGCAGAGAGCTGTTGGCAGATGGAAAGCACAAGATATTAAATGAACCTCCCTTAAAATGCGACGTGTTCAGTCCCATTTCCTGTTCCTTTTCCACCTACTTTCATGTCTTTTCTAATTACTGTTGTTGCTCTTAGGTTTTCCCTCGTTGCAGGCTGATGGATTGGCAACCCCACCCCCTCCTCCACCCAAGAGCAAACCCTATGAGAACAGCAACCCCAGGAATTCTGTGGAGGTGAGGAAATGAGAGCTGACATTTTTTTGGAGAGCAGCAGCTTTTGAGAAAGAGGCACCAGTGGAATTTTCCAAGGGTGGTGCTGCCTGAGACTTGTCTAATCATTTTACTGCTTCACTCCCTGAAACCACAAAAGAAGAAAAAGGGTTTTTTTTTTTGCTTCAGGAGTGAAGTCTTTTTTTCCTTTTTTTTTTTTCTTTTTCCAAGTGGGAGTTGTATTGTCCTTGGTCAGGAAAACTGAGTGTGGGGGTGGGAAGAGATACTGAAAACAAACGAGCACCGTGAGGGAAAAATTTCAAAAACACGACCAGCGTGAAACAATGCAATAATTTGGGCCCGAAAAAGGAATAGAGGGGAAATTTCCCCCATTTCTGAGGTGATAAATGTCTCCTTTTAAGTCCTCAGCTCAGAATAATCAAGTTTTTGAAGTCATTAGTGACTTAAAAGAGCCTGTGCTAAGTCCCTGCCTCAGCCACAGCCTTTGTCTCAATTCCATGAAGTGCTTTCCTGCGAGGAACATCAAATTGCCATTTTTTTTATGCTGTACCACTGATGTTTCTCTTAAACTACAGAGTCTGGAGGCTGTTTGGAGTCCCTGAGGTGCAGATAACTCCAGTTATTGTGTGGGAATCACTTCCCCTGCCCCTGAAATGAAGGTGGTTCTGGTACCAGACCAATTGTTACCAAGGGGCAGCAGTAGAAATCATCCCTTTGGGGATAATTTGGGAGGGTGGAGCCTCCCCAAGCCCTGTTAAGAAGCACCTTTTGTAATTTAAAGGCATGAACATCTCCCCCAGTCCCGTTGGCAAAGAGGATTTGGGGAGTACCTGAGTGAGATGAGCTGGGATGGGACCCAAAAGGACTTAAAGAACGATCACACTTTATAAATATTTTACCTCTGGCAGCCCAGGAAGACAAGAAAACAGTTGATCACTTAATTCAGTGATGTGACACTGGGATGTGACAGTGCCATCAAGTGTGGGATGAGGAGGAGGTTTTGTCCTTCCCCCTTCCTTGGGTTGGAATTGGCTGTGCCCCTGGAAACAGCCCCTGGAGCTGCTGTCCTGGTGGGACTGGCAGAGATATTCCAGCCCCTGGGATGTGCTGGGGGAGCCACTGCTTCCAGAGGATTAATGAAAGAGCCTCTTTCCCTCGAGTCTTGTAAGGAAACTAATTATTAACATGTCCTGGCTTGCAAGGCTGCCCTTGGCTTGCAGCCAGAGGAGAAGGATTCACTGGGCTGCAAAGAGAGATTGTAAAGTATTTTCTGAAGGGTTTTGTTGCTTTGCTGTTGTAAAGTTGTCTCTGTCTGCCTTTGGTTAAAGCAGCCCTGAAATCTTGGCAGTTTTGGCTCAGAAGTGGTGGAGCCACACGAGCTCTTTGCTCACCTGGCCTTTCACATCTCGTTTATTTACAGGATGGCCCCTAAAACAGGCAGAGGAACAGCTCAAAAGAACCTCCTAATGCAGTTTTCTGCAAGAATAAGCAACATCCTGCGAGCCCCTGTGCCAGACAGGCAGGATGTGGCTTGTTTAATTAGAACTTGTTTAATTAGAACTTGTTTTATTAGAACTTCACTTGCTCCCCTTTTTTGTGGTGTTAGTTTTACCAGTCTGATTTGGAAGTGTTGTACATCCTTTTGGCCCCTGCTTGGTGCAGCTCCATCAAGCCAGCAGGATAAAAATAATGCACTTTTGGAAACTGGAAGGAGGTGGGTTTATTGCCATTGTCCTGAGGAACAAAAGGTGGGACACGGGACCAACTGGCAAAGTTGGGCTGCAGGTCCAGCGTTTCAATTTAAATTTAAATCAATTTAAATATGTCCAGAAGCATGTTTTAGGAGTCAGAAATATCTCTGCTCCTGTTACCTCCTGGGGCTCTGTCCTTGTTTGCCCCTGTCAGGGACTGGTGGTGCTGGGAGGCAGAATTCCAAGATCTGACCCTGAGGGAAGCATCAGGACCTTTTGGATCCATCATTTGGTGAAGGAAAACGCCTCCACTTGCCAGTAATGGTCTATTTTTCTGTGTGTTTTCCCCTTCTCAGGTTGCTCCACCACTGCCCAGCAGAAGGGAAGCCAAACCTCCCCCTCCACCCCCAAAAACCAGGAAATCCAGCGTGGTGTCCTCGGAGCAGGGGCTGCAGTGAGGGAGGATCCCACCCCCAGCCTGGTGATCCCTCCTTGGAGTTTTCCTTGGGAAAGACCCAAAGGAACTGTTGTTGACTGTGTTCCCCAAGCCCTGCTTTCCCTGGGACACTGATCCCTACTGGAATTCTCTTCTGCCTCAGCGTTGTCTGCCCTGAGTTCCAGCCCTGCTGCAATTCCAGCGGCTCCTTCCCGGTGTCATCAGTCCCAGGAGGGATTTTGCACCGGGGGTCTGAAGCCAGGGGAGGCAGAGCAGTGGGAGGTGTGTCCAGCAGTATTTTTCACGTGAGTTTCGAGCTGTGTTTGTTGGGAGAAAAATTTCTCCCTCGAATTTAGAAAGAACTGCAAAACCTCACGAGACAAAAAGAAAGGATTTATTCAGCGCTCTCTGGGTCTGGTCTCACCCCGAGTTTTCGGGGAGAAAAGACCCCCTTGGGTTTAAATTTCATGCATTTTGTAGCTTTACAAAATCCCACCTTTTTCAGGTAAGCTTAATATTTTTAAGCTTAATACTTTTAAGCTTAATACTTTTAAGCTTAATATTTTTAAGCTTAATATTTTTAAGCTTAATATTTTTAAGCTTAATATTTTTAAGCTTAATATTTGCCTAAAAAGGGTTTCTTTTCTCTAAAAAGGGGATTTCCCTTCTTTCCACTTGGCCATCCTCTGTCAAAAATGATGGATCTTCCTTTAGGCCAGAGACAGAAGAGAAACCCCTGTGCACACAAGATTCTCACATGGCCCTGAAAGATTTTAATTTTTAAGAACTTTTGCATCTCCCTTATCCAGGAAAAAAAGACCCTGATGCTCCAGTTCAGGTTTTGGAACTTGGATATCTTACAACCTCACGAGACGCCTATATATAATATATATATATATAAAAGTATTTTTATTTCTCATATTTGTGATCCCTGATGAGCCAAGATCTGATCCTCATGATGTGGAGCAGATCCCAGCCATTCCTGCTGGGAAGCAGCAGCTCCCAAGGTGTGAGGTGGGAGAAGTCCCTGAAGATCCCTGGTTGCAGGCAGAGACCTGAGCGTTGGCAGCAGATGTGAAAAACCTTTTCTCTGCTTTTTTTTTTTTTGTGTGTGGGATGAAGAGCAACCCCTGCCTCACTCCAGCTCTGCTCCAGGGAGAGTTCACCAGTCCTTTGCCAGGATTTCACTGGATTGAACCCTACAGAGCACTTGAGACCCTCCCTGAGTTGTGTCCCCTCTGTCTGGGACTTGGGACAAAACTTCACCTTTGTGCTTTTTAAAGGGGTGGAAATGGGAATGTGGGAGGTGAAGAGAAGCTGCACTTTTACCAGGGCTGGTCTGGTCCCAGTTGCATTGATACCAGGATTATACTGGTCCCAGTTGCTTTGGTACCAGGATTATACTGGTCCCAGTTGCTTTGGTACCAGGATTATACTGGTCCCAGTTGCTTTGGTACCAGGATTATACTGGTCCCAGTTGCTTTGGTACCAGGACTATACTGGTCCCACCTGCACTGATACCAGGGCTGGACTGGTCCCAGCAACTTGGAGAGGATGGAATGTGCAAACCCAGTTCTCCCTCCTGACCTCAGCCACGAGACTCTGATTCTCTCCTGTGACCTTTCCTTTGGGCACATCCACACAAGTACAAGTAATTCTCTTTTTTCCCCCCTGCCCCCATTTGTGGCAGTACTTGCACTTTGGTTTAGAGCCTCCCTTGATCCAGGTTTTTGATAGGCTGGACTTTAAGGAGCCATTTAGATCTGGGATGTGTGAAAGACTTGACAGTTAACCACCTCTTTTCCTCTTGCTTGGATCACTCCACTCTTTTGTGGGAGTAATGTATTTAATTTTTGCTTTAGTTATTTATTCCCTGCTCTGTCTGGATGTCTTTCTGTTTGTATAGAGAAAAATCAACAGGATTTTAGGGTTTAAAATCACGTGGTCCCTGCAGGAAGGGCTGTGGCACTGCAGGAATAGCCTGTGCCCAGAGCTGCATAGTGACCAAAAATCCAACACAAATATCAGTGTTATTTCTGGACCAGATGGGCCTCAGGCACAGAATTCCCATGGCTGAGCTGCCACTGGAATCCTGTGTGGAGCAGGACTTCCCCAGAGTGCCTGTTTCAGGAATAATGCATCATGAAGAACTTTGCTTTTCCTGCCAAGCTGCCTAATTCAGAATTTCTTTAGATATCATCATTTATATCTCACTCTAAAGCAGAAAAGCAAGTGCAGGTGGAGGTTTCCTTGATTTGTAAGAATTATTCTCTTGCCCCATTCAGGCAGAGGGTTTTCCCTTCCACTCTGCCTCTGGGACTGCCCTGGTCGTGTCCTGGCTGTTATTTTTTCCCTGATGTTTTCCAGGGATTGGCAAAAAATTGCTTCTTGTTCTTCCCTTTCACTGTGGAACTCAAAATTGTAAAGTATAGATTGAGACTTCTTGGAGACTTTAAAGATTCTTAAAACTTACAAAGAGGGACCAGCTGAGGAATTTGGATCCAAATTTCTGCACTTATAAGAAACTTTGTCTGTTTGGAGTTAATTTATCATCAGTATTGAGGAACATTTTCTTTTCCAGGAATAATTTTACTGTAACTGTAACTTGTCATTTGACTTCTGATTATCTGGTACAAGTTGGGGGGAGCCACTAAAAACCTGCTGAGGATGTTACTGACAGTAGTAAATACAATTAACTCTTGGGTTGGGGGTTTTTCTTGAAGGCCACTGCACCTTTTTTGTGCTCACCTGACTGAAATGGGGTTTCATTACAGCCAGAAATGGTTTTTCATTACACACAGAAACGGCTCCCAGTGAAAAAATGAAGTTTGTTAAACCTCATGGAAGTTTTTCAGGGAAAAGCAAACCCAGTGAAGCCCTGGGGGGGGTTTTATTCAGCCTGAAGTTGTCCTTTCTTTTGTTCCTCTGGATTCTGGTGCCTCCTGTGTGACTCCAGGAGCTGCTGGCTCTGGCAGACAGATTGTCTGCATCCCAGTCACCCTGCATTCCCATCAGGTTGGGGATGTTTCAGGGCTTGCAGGGCAGTCACATCACATCCATGTTTGCTGCACACACTCCCAGCTGCCTCTGCCTTGCTGCTTCCCAGGGGGAATCTTGGAAACCTTCCTGGACACCCTGGCCAGGTCCCCCCCTCCCTGGAGCACCAGGGGATGTGTCAGCTCCTCCTTGTGTTCTGAGACACAAACTCTGCTTGACTTGAAAACCACAGGAGGGTTTCTTGTCTTTTGGTTTTTATCCACTTCTTCCTCCCTTGTAACCACTTCCCTCCTGCTCACAGGAACTCCAGGATCCTCCCAAACTTCGCTCCAACGAGAACTTTTTGTCTCCTTGTGAGACTTTTGCTTCAGGCAGAACAGCAGGATGTGGTCTGAGGTGTCTGCTGAGCATCTCAACAGCACCTCTGGTTAATTCAGTTAATTCATTTAATTAATTCAGTGTCTTTCCCCTCTCTGAATCTGCCTGGTCCCTCATTCCTGGCTGCATTTCCTTGCCAGGGCAGGTTGGCTTTTAAATCCTTTGGAGAGGCAGCAGGAACAGAGTGGGGATCCCAGGGAATGAGGTGAACAAACCAGCTGCCAGATTTGGGATATTTTGGTGCCCAGTGACTCTCAAGTCTCATTTTCCACCCTTCCTTAGTTCTTCTTTCACAACTTTAGCACGTGGATGTACCTTGGGCATTTTTCCTGGAGCGGGGAACCGATCCATGCAAAAAAAAAAAACCCTCCCAGGAGGAGCTCTGACCTTGGCAGGAATTTTTCAGCTGACCTTTCTGCCCTTTCCACTTTGCCCTTTAACCTGAGGAGGTTTGGTTCTCGCTGCTTTTTGTGCAGTTTTATGGGTGAGGTTTATGAACTGAGGACTTGGTGTGTAAGTGGTTAATTATCCTCCCCCTTCCCTTCCTTTCTTTGGCTCAAAAAAACCCAGTTTCTGTCTCTTCTGGATGATCATTTTTGAGCCCAGAGTCACCTGGAAGCAGGTGAGTCTCTAAAGAGGCAGGGGAGTGAGCAGGGGGTGGCTGGAACCCATCCCAGCGCTGCAAAAATCAGGAATATTCAGTGCTTGGTGTAATTTAAGCTTTAAAAAGCCCTTTTATTTGGCTTAAAGACCCTTAAACAGCACTAAAGGCGTGTTAAAATCTGATTATTGGAGAAGCCTCTGCCTGAATTAAGGTGCAAACAAGGCCATGTGCCAAAGTCAATATTGTATTTATTATTTAGCATGAAATGTGAGGTGGAGAGGTAGAAAGGAATAGAAAAGAGAGAGAGATCAGGCAGAAAATCTTCAGCACTCGTGGGTCCAGCAGCATCCTGTTGGCCCTTCTTCACCCTGAATTTTTGGTAGTGGGGGTCCAAACTTTTCCCTATTTATACCTTTTAGCCAACAAAGGAGTTGATGCCCTTTGGCTGCACCTTTCTCTTGTTCTGGTGGTTAAAAGCTGATTATTAAATCACTCCCAACGCTGATTAATCCCAAGCTCAGTCTTTCTCCTCTTTTTGAGTGTTTTCATTGGCAAATTTGCCAGAAAGGGGTTTAAATCAGGTGATTTTTTTTTAATTCTTTTTCCCTTTCTCAGCCTTATTTTTGTTGTAGAGTCTGAATGGTGGAATTCAGACTCTCCCCACTTCTCTCCACTGCTCCCAAATTGGGGTTGTTTTCTTACCTGTGGGACTGACTGGGGGGGATGTTCTTGGCTGATAAAAATCAGCATTTTTGGCTCAGAGGCACAAGGTGGAATTTCTGTTCTGTGCCTGAAACATTCAGAGCTTTGTGCCAGTTTTAGCCCCCCAAAAAACTCATTTAATTTTTAGCTTTTTAAAGGCAGTTGGGCATTTAAGTGTGTGGCTAAGCCTGGGGCCTGACTGATTTTAATTAAGTGGAATTAAGTGCCCACATCTATGAGAAATCCCACCAGAGCCCTGATTCTTTTTTTAGGTGTTTGCTCTTTGCTCCAGCACCTGCCTGAGTTGTGAGGTTTAATTTTCACAATTTAAGGTGTCTCTACTTAGTTTTTTAAACAAGAATCATCTTTTTATGTTATTTGGATGCTCTTGGATGTGTCTCTGATGCTTTTTAAACTGGAGGGCTAAAAATGGGAGCAGGATGGTCCATAATGATGCTCTCTGCATATGAGAAATCAAAAAAAAAAATCAGTGTTTTTACCCAATTTGCAGTTTGAAACCCCAAATCTCCAAGTTAAAAATCCAGAAGGCAAAACCCTAATCCAGTTTCTTAGCCCTGCTGTTCAAAGCTGGTGTTAAAATTTCAAGTTTTTGAGGGTTTTATTTTTGTCCCCTTGGAGAGAAATGGGCTGCAACACTCGTTTGCTGGAGCTTTTTAATTAAAACTGGTTGTGCTGGGCTAAATTCCTTGAAAAATCAGGAGAAGATGGGCAGGAACAGGAGTTTTGGTGGATTATGGGATTAGGGAAGGACACACAATCCCAGGGAGAGCAGCTCTGGGATGTGCAGTGGCAGAAACACCCCCCTGGATGTGCAAAGATTTTGGGGAATAATAAATAACATCCCACAAACTCCCCTCTCCCAGCCCAGGGTTTGCTCCAGACTCACACCCAGATTGGCCTTGCAGTGACACCCCCTCAGATCTTCTCTCTCCTTATTTATTTTTCTAATTGTAAATGGAAATAATAAATTGAAATCTGTAATTTAACTAATTTTTCATATATATATATATAGTGAAAACATTCCTGACCCGTTTCTGCTGCCTTATTTGGATTTTTTTAAAATTTTTAATTAAAAACTATCTCGTTTTTACTGGTGCAGACCAAATTCTCTGGTGTATCAGGGTGAGCTTTTGCAAGAACTAAAACAGCAAAGAAAAATTAAACAATAATGTGATTTTTTTCCCTGCACTGGCACGTGAGATTCACCAGATTCTGCTCTAATTAATTAATTAATTAATTAAAGCACCTTTAGGACACTTTGGCACTCCCAGACTCTACTTTTCTACTGGTTTGTGTTTTTAAACAGAGGTGCAAGTTCCTCAGCAGCTCCAAAATTCAGGTACATGGTATTAATTAATGTCATTTCTCACTGTGGGGTTATAGAGGTTTAATCATGACAAACCTTGCTGTGATTTTGGGAGAACTTGGAGTTCGTGGGACGTGGGTTTGTGTGTCCTGGATGTGGTTTTTTAACTCCAAACTCACCTCTGCAGGCTTTTCTTTTCCTTTTTTTTCTTTTTTTCCTTTTCTTTTTCCCCTCATTTTTTTTTTGAATCAGCAAAAAAAATAATACAGCTTTTATTAAAAAAATAACAGCTCTCTGAAGAGAGCAGGAGCTTTGGGAAAGGAGTCTCTGTAAAGCAAGGTGTATAAATTTCCGTGGTTTTTTTAAAAATGTATTGACTCTTGTAAAGTTTGTAAATACCTTTTTAAAATAAATGTAGTTTTTATGACCGAACCAGTAAAAAAAAAAAGAGCATTTAAAAGTCTTTCCTGCCTACACCGAGGCGTGAGGAGAGTTCCAGCCCAGCAGTAAGTTTATTTTTGGGGCATTTAATGAAGTTTTGGGGCTGTTTTAGCCACAGACCGGGGAGATCAGGGAGGGTTTGGGGCTCTAAATGTGAAATCAAAGTTTTCCCACATCCAAATTTTCGTTGCAGGCCACAAAGCAGAGCCTGTCCTGCTGCTCCCACCCCTGCACTGGGATGTCCCTCTTTTAATCCAATAATCCACACAATTATTTTCAGCCATTTAAATGCAACTTCAGAGCAGTTTATTCACATCATGACCCAAAAAGCAAAGACGATGTGAAGAGGAGCCGATTTTGCCACAGCTCTGAGACCTTATTTGGGCTCTGTTAATCCACTGGGGTTTAAATCTTTCTTCTTCCTTCCCCTTCGAGCAGGTTTTCCTGCAAAAACACACATTGTATTCCTGTAAATACACATTATATTCCTGTAAACACACATTATATTCCTATAAAAATCATATTCCTAACATATCATATTCCTATAAACACACATATTCCTGTAAACATCATATTCCTATAAACATCATATTCCTGTAAACATCATATTCCTATAAACACATTATATTCCTATAAACACAGATTATATTCCTATAAACATCATATCCCTAACTCACATCATATTTCTATAAACACATTATATTCCTATAAACACATTATATTCCTATAAACATCATATTCCTATAAACACATTATATTCCTATAAACACATTATATTCCTGTAAACACACATTATATTCCTGTAAACATCATATTCCTGTTAAAACACACCATATTCTTGTTTTTTTTTTAAGAGCAGGAATAACTGGGATGATGGAATATTTTCCAACCTGGAATATCCACCCTGTGGAGTGGCTTGGAAAGGAGGATTGGAGTGACAATGATCCCTGGAAAAGCTGCAGGTGGAAAAGGTTTAATTTGTTTTCAGGGTCATTGAGGAGCAAGAAATAAGAAGTTTCTGAGCAAAGCTGAGAGTTTTTCTTCCTTGTTTGTGTGGAAAAGGTTTAATTTGTTCTCAGGTTCATTAAGAAATAAGTTTCTGAGCAACCCTGAGGGTTTTCCTTGGTTGTTTCCTCAAGGGCTCATTTCAAATATCCTCCTCATGATTCTGGTATATTTCTTTTGCTTAACCTTGTCTCTTGCAGTAAAAAAAAAATACTAAATTACTAATACTAATACTAAAATACTAAAAAATCCTAAATTATTGTTGCTGGCTCTTCATTCTGCAGGTAGTGCTGTTGGAAGCCAGACATGAACCACCATTCCTATATATGTTCAGTACAAATAGAGTTTAAATGGCCTAAAGTAATACTTATTTAGGTAGTTTCTACATTAAAATCCAATGGAATTAAGACTCTGTGTTATTGCTACTGAGGTGATGAGCCTGTTTCAGGCCAGGAAAGGCTGAGGAGTGTTTCAAGTGCTTGAAACTTTGGGTCTTGGCTTCAAACTTGATGCACAGATTGAGTGTTCCAGCTTTTGGGCTGGCTCAGGGACACTTCCCGGGCAGTGGGGACCATCTGGCCTGGCCAGGGTGTTGCTGGATTAATTAAAGAGCCTGGTTTTTGCTGGTTTTGCTGTTTGGTTTTGCTGCAGAGCCCTTG